CAGCGTGTGCTGCCGTGCCCAGCTCAGTTTTGTATTTTTGGTAGAGATGGGGTTTCACCATGTTGCCCAGGCTCGTCTTGAACTGCTGGGCTCAAGCAATCTGCCAGCCTTGGCCTCCCAAAGTGCTGGGATTACAGGCATGAGCCACTGAGCCCGGCCTTTAAGGCCGTCTTTCAGCTCTTCAGAGGCAAATGTTCTTCCCTCTGTGGACCCACGGAGCCAGCAGTTTTAGGCTTCTGCACTGGCTTAGCAGATTTTGTCCATTTTCCAGGTTTTTCTGATTTATGATGTTCTGTACTTTCTCTCTGATCCAGCATTCCCTCTAGTAGATCTTATTCCTCCTCTACCCGGACTTGCCCACGTACACATGGTTATGCATCAAAGTTTACAACTGGTCTTCCTTGGTATATCCAGCTACTCTTGATACCTGGGTCTCAAGTCATGTCTTTCTAATTAGTAGCCAGGTATCTGAGGCCACCATGGGTGTCATATCATTTTGGTCTTCACCCAAGTTCTGTTCTCTTCACTAATCAAGATTGACTGCCCTTTCCAGGGTAGTCACTGGTAGCTCCACTTACCCATCTTTTTAAGCATTTTCCCTGTCCCTGGTGGCTGGGTGCCTGTGTCCTGCTTATGATACCAGGAAGAGATGACTCTTCTGTTCTTCCTGCTTCCTTGGGTGGAAGCTGCAAAGGATGCCTTCCAAAATCAGCTTATTATTTTTGTGGACCTAAGATCTGTAGACAGCTAGCCAGCGCCCATCTCATGGAGAGAGGGTATTCTAAGCCAGATATGATCTAGTCCCATGACTTGATCTGTACCTTGCAGGGCATGGCCTTTCTCCACAACAGCATTATTTCATCGCATGGGAGTCTCAAGTCCTCCAACTGTGTGGTGGATAGTCGTTTTGTGCTCAAAATCACAGACTATGGCCTGGCCAGCTTCCGATCAACTGCTGAACCTGATGACAGCCATGCCCTCTATGCCAGTGAGGCCCACCCCCACAACCCACTTCATATATTGCTGCTCTTTCCACCTAGGGATGGTGGGAGAGGGAGGTGGAGTGACAGTAATATAGGGATGAGCCCAGGTGGGCTTGGGGGTACCCCATTTTGGGGGACCTGGCCAGCCTGTTTCCTCTTTTCAGAGAAGCTGTGGACTGCCCCAGAACTGCTCAGTGGGAACCCCTTGCCAACCACAGGCATGCAGAAGGCGGATGTCTATAGCTTTGGGATCATCCTGCAGGAGATAGCACTTCGCAGTGGTCCTTTCTACTTGGAGGGCCTGGACCTCAGCCCCAAAGGTAAGAGTCAATCCACTACCCACAGCCTCTTCTTCCTGGGGGAACTCAGTTCCTCATCCAAACCTTTGATCACCCTCAGAGATTGTCCAGAAGGTACGAAATGGTCAGCGGCCATATTTCCGACCAAGCATTGACCGGACCCAGCTGAATGAAGAGCTAGTTTTGCTGATGGAGCGATGTTGGGCTCAGGACCCAGCTGAGCGGCCAGACTTTGGACAGATTAAGGGCTTCATTCGACGCTTTAACAAGTGAGAGGGCATTATAGGGCAGGGGCTTCCCAGGGATAGAAGCCTCATTAGTCCTAGTGCATGAAGTGGGGCAGGTGGGACCAGAGGGTGGGTTGGATAGGAAGTCCTGGGAGTCTTCAGAATCTTAGAGCAAGTGCCATATCCTGGCCTCCCCACAGGGAGGGTGGCACCAGCATATTGGACAATCTCCTGCTGCGCATGGAACAGTATGCCAATAACCTGGAGAAGCTGGTGGAGGAACGCACACAGGCCTATCTGGAGGAAAAACGCAAGGCTGAGGCTCTGCTCTACCAAATTCTACCCCAGTGAGACTTTGTCCCCCTTCCTGAATTTTCCTTTGGGATTCTGCTCTGTTGGGCTCTGCCTCATCAGGCACCTGCAAACTCGCCTCCCGACCCTCAGAACGCTGCTGGCCACAGGGAGTCCCCCTGGCTATAGATTTTTTGCTGTCATTCTGTCTTTGCATCAGCTGTGCTGCCTTCTTACTGGCTTCCCATCCCTTCTTACAACACTGCTCTACCATGCCCTTGCTTCAGCAAGTGTATGTAAAACAGTCCCAACTTGAGACAGCTCCCATGCACAGGGATCTCCTCAAAAGCCCCTGCCACTTGTGCGCCGTACCTTGCATTTGACTGTAATGTCTTCCCAGCCACTTTCCTCCCTCCCACTTGCAAAGCCCAGCTTTCTTGTTTCAGCTCATATCTGCTGCAGCCACATGCACCTTCCCTCTCTCTTCTGCTCCTACTCTCTTGGAGTTTGGCTCACACAGCACCCTTGCTTCCTAGTTCAGTGGCAGAGCAGTTAAAACGGGGAGAGACTGTACAGGCTGAGGCCTTTGACAGTGTTACCATCTACTTCAGTGACATTGTTGGCTTCACAGCATTGTCAGCAGAGAGCACCCCCATGCAGGTGAGAGCCATGGGTGAGAGGTAGCGGGTGGGGTCGGGTGGGTAGGGACCCGGGGAAGCCTCATTGATAACAGGGAAGATGAGTTTGTTCTAGAGTTCCCACATCTTGTGATGGCTCGTGGGTTAAGAATTCTTAGAAAGTTGGGTACAAGTTTCAGGGCCTCTGCTTTTCTATCCCTTTTAGGTAGTGACACTTCTTAATGACCTGTATACCTGCTTTGATGCCATAATTGACAACTTTGATGTCTACAAGGTGAGAGCTGGGGTGGCTCTTCAATAGAAGACTCTTTAATAGAGACCCCCTTTGAAAGCCAGTCTCCCTGAACCCCACACACCTTACCCACTCCATGATCAGCTTTCCCTCCAGGGGCCCCAGCATCCTGGTGCTGGAGTGTACTTTGTAAACAGATGTAGCTCCAGCACTGTCATTGTACACTCCAGTCGAATTTCTTGTGAATCCTTTGGCTTCCCTAATTAGAACCATCATGAGATTTAGCTCCTATCTCCCTGGAGTATAAATACAGCCAATCCAACATTTCTCTCCAGTCCTCTCCAGACATGGAAGAATCATATAGGATGTGGGTCCAGACTGATTTAGTGGGGTGAGGGAAAATATATTTTAAAAAGTAAAACTTTTTGTTGAAGTCATTGAGTTGGATTTATTGTCCTTGGGAGTAAAAATCATCTGAATTTGAATATTGGCTTGTTACTAACTATGTGGCCTTATAGGTAAGTAACAGAATCTCCCTGAGCCTCAGTTGTTTTATCTGTAAGATGGAAATAATAGATTTGTTGTATAGAAAGTGCCTAACATTGTTTGGCATGTGGCAGAACAATGACATTCATTCTCTTACATACCTTTGGTACAATTACCAGCATCAAATGCCTGCTTTCCTCCTGACAGTTTGGGCTGTCTGGTCATTTCACTGGGCCTGCTTTACCTCCTTACCAGCCTCTGTCCTCTTGAGTTTAGCCTGTTGTCTTGCTTCCCATTTCCTGATGGCAGAGCCTATTTGTCCATGTCCTGCTGCAGACAGGGTGTTCATTCATTCAGCAAATGTGTACTGAGTATTCACCAGGTGCTGGGTGGAGAAAGAGGACTTAAAGATTCCCTTGACATCTCGTCTCCCCTAGACTCTCAGGACCATGGCACTTATTTTCTAGTCAATATTCTGGCCTCCAGGATGTCAGGATGATGTCCAGCTTGTCTCCCTCTACTCTTTCCCATCCCCATGGATACAAATAGAGGTGACCTTTTAATCCCCCTCTCAATCAGGTGGAGACGATTGGGGATGCTTACATGGTGGTATCTGGCCTCCCAGGCCGAAATGGTCAACGGCATGCACCAGAAATTGCTCGTATGGCCCTAGCATTACTAGATGCAGTTTCTTCCTTTCGCATCCGCCACCGACCCCATGACCAGCTGAGGCTACGCATAGGGGTCCATACTGGTAAGGCTGACTCTTACTCCAGCCCTAATCTCCACCTTTCCCAGACTCTCCCAACCTGTTTCTTCTCATAGGTCCAGTCTGTGCTGGGGTTGTTGGCCTGAAGATGCCCCGTTATTGTCTTTTTGGAGACACAGTGAACACTGCTTCTCGAATGGAGTCTAATGGTCAAGGTAAGACACTAGCCCTCAACCCCACTGTTGGCCTCAATTTATCTTGCCCTTTTCTTCTTTTCATAGTTCCTCCAATCTCTTAATCTGAGAGACCACAGTTCCTTAGTGTTGCATCCTTGGGCATATTTTGGTTCTAATAGATATGCATTGGGAGGTCTGGGAGCTTCCCTGGAATGGTTGGTCGGGCACGGTGCTATACAGTATCACCAATTATTTGCCTTTTCTTTGATTCCTTTTTCCATCATCCTCCCTATCCCACCCACCCCAGCGCTGAAGATCCATGTCTCCTCTACCACCAAGGATGCCCTAGATGAACTAGGATGCTTCCAGCTAGAGCTACGGGGGGATGTGGAAATGAAGGTGACGGCAGGCCATGGGGAGGGAGGCGTGGGAAAGGGGGGTGAAAGTGATTATGGGAATCATGGGGAAAGAGAGGGAGACAAAGGGACTAACGCTGAAGCATCTGAATCCTGTCCACTCTCCCACTTCCAGGGAAAAGGAAAGATGCGAACATACTGGCTCTTAGGAGAGCGGAAAGGACCTCCTGGACTCCTGTAAACCCCCATTCTTCCCAAGTCAGACAGTCTCCTGCTGCTGGTACCTGGGTGGGCAGTGGCCACCATGTCTGCACACACCAGAAATGGACATTTTCATATGTAATGGAAAACAGCCACAAAAAACCTACCTTATATGGAAGTTGTAGCCCTCTGCAGCTCAGCCCTGTACATATACCTGTCCCTCTCTGGCTTGGTCCCCTTCCTCCCTACTTTCTGTAAATATCTGTATCTAAACCAGAATATTTTGGTCAAATATAAAACAATAATAAAAAAAGTTCTGATGTCATAGTGTGGGATGGGGCAATCCCAAGGAAAGGTTGTGGGGTATGCACGCAGTGACTCACAGAATCACTAAATTAGCAGTCTTGGGATGAGAGAGAACCCTTTATGTAAAGCCTCTTCAAGTACAGTGAGAATTAACTGCCTCCTGACCTCTCTAGTGCAGACAGAAATAGATTCCATATTCCATATCCCACTTCCCTCCTCACCCCTGACAGGAGTCATTCACCCCCTCCACCACCCAGCCTTCCTCTCTGACAGGGAAGGGAAGAGATTTCTCCCAGTTGGTGGGGGTAATTCTCAGGTTCATAGGGCAAAAGTTGCCCCAGAGACAAGGGTACTGGTGTTGAGAAGCTGCAGTTCTTCCGGAAAGGTGTATCCAATGTCCTGATGTTACTGACACCCTGGAGGAGTGCCAGGATGAGGATGGATCTCGCTTTCCCCAAGCCAGAACAAAACAACTCTGCCCTACCTTTCCTGCCCCGCTCTGCCCCCAATACCTAGTCACCCTCACACACCGGTAGCTGTGGTGCCCTCTGTATCCAGAAGGTCTCAGGCTGCTCCTGGCGGTAGTCGTGAGGCTGTGAGGGAGGGTACTGAGTAACTCCTGGCCTTCAGTCCTCTCTCTCAACCTCTGGGCCCGGCACTTGACCACAGCCTGTCAGAGCCCAGCTGTGCAAGTGGCAGGGGGTGGGGAGTGGGTTCTCACCTTTGCTGGGGCAGGAGTCCCTGATTGCACCAGCTCCATTCGGTAGTCATGGTGTGTCACAGACTCGACCTCAAAGAGCTTCCTTGTGGGTTCCTGTTCTGCCTGTACCTCTTTACTATGTAGCCCGAGAGGTGTCAAGGCCATTCTCACCCAATTTTTCTCCTCCCCCTCCCTCTTCCCTTTTACCCAATCCCTTACCGGATCTGATGCTGCAGAAGCATCTCCAGCATGGCTTCACGCTTCCCTGTGAGAGGGCGGGGGGTGGGCAGGGTGGGGTCTGGTTAAGAAGGAGGCCCAGAAGAAACTAACTTGAGAAAAGGAAGAAAGACCTTGGGGGTTCTGCCCTTATATCCATTGGACAATCCACAGCCCCATCAGAAATTCCTTCCTCTTTTTCCCTCTGACTATTGGACTCGTTCTGGCCTACACTCTCTCACATTTCACACCTCGAAGTGGCCAATAGACATTTCCTGGTGGCTGGTAGGAGTCTTTCTGGGTGGTGCTGCGGGGCATGGGTGACTTTAGTTGCATAGTCAACAGTCCCCGGTGTCCGTGTCGGAAGAAAAAACTCTCAGAGCCATCCTGCATGCTTGGGACTTGATCCAGGTGGTTGGTGGCTCTCTGTGGATCCCAAGTTGAATGACTATAATATCCCTTCTGGTACCCACCCTTATGTGAACTACTGCCTCCCCTAAGAAACTGAGGACAGCCTTCAAGAAAAGGGAGCAGGCCAAAACTTTAATACCTCTTCCTCCCAGTTGTAGAGGAGGCACTGGCCCCGTGGCAATGTTTCATAGTGAATCGTAGGCTTCCCTTTAATGTCTGCGGGTTTCCATAGTCCTCGGGTACCCGGTTCTAAAACTTGCAAAAATTCCCAAGGTGGTTGTTTCTGGGGCTCCCAGGGGCAGTGCTGACTCCTGGAGGTATAGTTAGGGACTCGATCTGCCCCCAGGTTTCTGAACCCTGGAGGAATAGAGGGGCTGAGCTCAGAGTCAGGGCCAGTACCTGGACCAGGCCCAGAGGCAGGACCAGGATGAGAGCCAGAGCCATGACCAGGACCAGAGCCAGAGACAGGGACAGAGCCACAGCCAGGACCAGAGCCAGAGCCAGAGCCAGGGACAGAGCCATGACCAGGACCAGAGCCAGAGCCAGAGCCATGGCCAGCATCTGAGCTGGAGCCAAGAACAGGCCCAGAGCTAGAGCCTGGAACAACGTCAGAGTTAGAACTATGGTCGGTTGTAGTGCAAGGGTCCTGAGCAATACAGGAAACATAGCCGGGCTCAAAGCCAAGACTCCCATGGGCTATATTGTGGGTAAAGCTGGGTCCCGCACAGGGCTCCCCAAGAAGGCTGGGGCCAGAGGATGGCTCCATGAACTCAGAGCAGGGCGCTGGGGTCTTTGTAGATAATGCAGCTGCTTTGGTGGTGGTGAAGCCTGCGGTAGCTGCAGCAGCTGATGCAGCCGCTGCAGCTGCTGCGGTTGCAGCTGCCAGGGCCGACCTAGGACTGTCATCTGAAGAAGGAAACGGTTCCGAAGTGGGCCCCAGTTCTTCGGAGCTGGGCTGTATGTCTAAAGATCTGAAAGAAAGCAAACACGACAAGGCTGTCAAAAGCGCAGCAGAGGAAGTCCGCTGACCTTCCTCGTCCCCTTCTGCCTGCAGCCAGAGCTGCGGCTCTCACCGCGACCGCGATCCCTCCGTAGACTCGTTGGTCTCCATCTTCAGACTCCAGCTACCGGGTTGCCATAGAGACAGCAAACAACTCCTGGAGCCTGCGCAGAAGTAGAGCTAGGCGGACTTGCAGGTGGGGGTGGAGGCAAGTCCTCTGCGGGGCGGAAGTCTTCAGCCTAGTGCTGTCAGGGAGGACCGCTTTCCGGTCCCGGCGGCAATCCGCCTCAGGCTGGGTTTTAGGGTTCCGCTGGCTTAAGACCTACCCCTCCACGCCCGAACAGAACAGTCTTTGCGGTTTTCTAAGGTGATGCTTTATGCGGATATGTTGTAAACAGGCACAGGCCTGTGGCATTAGGTAACAGCCTACTTGGTGTTTGCAGAGACGCAACAGTAGCTTTCCTTTAGTTTGCTTAGTTCATTCTCAAAAGTGAGTAGGGTCTTTAACAAATGTTAAGGTTGAAAATAAACAAACTAGCTTGAGCAAAATGGTGAGACATGGAATAGTGAAAAGGCAGCCGCTTTTGTTTGGGTGATTACTCCTCCTCTAATAAAAGATCCTCATATTGACAGCCCTCCTCCTAAGCCCCCTTAGAACCTGGTTTGACCTATGAAGAAGGGCCAGGATGGGCTTTCAGTTTCTTCTGACTTTCAGTTTCTTCCTACTCATTTAGGCTCATTCCTACTGTTAACTTTTCTAGAAGCTTGATCTAGGGTGGACCACTTGTCAAGAAGACTTACATATCTGCAGGCAACCTTTAACCACAGGTTGGACCCTCCTCAGTGTCTTTCACTCAGACCAGTCAAGGGGCATCATAGCCCTGAATCAGTTTTCTTTCCCCTTTGTGGTATAAAATTTTATATTAAAGACAAGAGAGCATAATTAAAGGATAACAGTTTTATTAGTATCACAGGGTCAATTTTTCCCTTTCCATCCAAGCATCCAGAGTCTGGTGTCCTTTGGTCAGTTGGCAGGTTCAACCTGGAGGCCACTGGAGCTGCCGGCCCCCAAGTACATGAATGTGCAGATGATACACAGATTGTGCACCCAGCTTCCCATCGTTGATCACTGAAATTGAGCTTAGGGTTAGGGAGTCAGGATCATGGCAGAGGTCAAAGAATGAAGATCATATTGAGAAGTAGGACTGAGAATTCATAGGTGAGGGACCAAGGGCCAAAAGTCACTCACCAAGTCGGTATCCATCTCCCAGGCCCTCAGCCTTTGCTATCTTCTTGGCCACAAGGAGTAGATGTCCTAGAAGCTATAGGGAGAGCAGAGGGACATAGGTGGCTTCATTCATAGGGAGCAAGACCTCTAGCTGAGTCCAGGGCTCTTCCCAGCCAAACCCTGGCCCTGTTCTTCCCACCTGCTGGTCGTCTTCTTCAGCCTGGCTAATCCGAGGAATGGGCTTCTTAGGAATGACCAGGAAGTGCACAGGAGCCTGAGGGGCCACATCACGGAATACAAGACACTGGGGGCAGTGACAGGCCAGAGGCCACATTAGTTCAACAGGGTGGATGGTATCGACAACATTCCTAAGGGGATGGGTCCTAAGAGCACCCCACCTGCTGGTCCTCATAAAGAATGTCAGCTGGGAGGCTCCTGTCCAGGATCCGGGAGAAGATGGTTGGGGCTGCTCCCCCAGGAGTTGCCTGTTGGGCCTTGGCCACTTCATTCCCATCAGTCGCACCTGCAGCTCCTCGGACCTGAAGGTAGATCGACCATATTCAAAGGAGGGAGCTGGCAGAACCTGTGATCTGGTAGTTGTTAACTTCGTCCTTCTAAGAACCTATTTGTGGTTCCCACCCAGGAGGAAAATTCCTGAATTTCAGAGCACCAGCAGCAAAGGGTAGGGCCAGATGGTGCTGGACCTGGTTAGGTAACAGGCAGCATTATCCAGGATTCAGCAGTGCAGTTGATTCCTGCTCACATGTCTATGAAATATAGCACTGTTTAGGGAAAGGATCTAGAATGAGATACTGGGGATTTTGGTCTCAGTTCCTATCTTACCACACCACTGAATTACCTCAGATAAATTCCTTCTCTCAGCTTCTAAAATAAAGGGGTGGTTTCCATAATCTCTTACGATGGCTTGAATCTCTTTCCACTCTCACCTTGTTAGTACATTTCCACTTATTTCCGTTACTTGTTTTCTGATCTTTAAGCCTTGTCGCCTGTTTTATTTAGGTTTTAATGCAATCGCCCTGTTTGACACTAGTTGACCCCTCATCTGGGTGTCACATGTGACTCTGAATTTTAACTCTTGTCCCTTGAATGAGTGGAGGTAAGAGTTCAGCTAAGTGATCTCTGCTTCCCTAGCCCCAGGGGACTGCGGGTAAGGCAGTCCCAGTTTCCAGGGGATTCAGAGAAGGCTGACGTCAGTGCATCACGTTGGGGGAGAATGGGAGGGAATGAATTCTCTGACCTCCCAGCCACTTCTGGCAAGTGCAGAAGAGAAGTTAACACTAGTGCTCATTAGGAGGCCAGAGGCCTGAGGAGGGCAGAGCACTGGCTCCATGAAGAGAAAGCTCATTTCCTGCAGGGGGCACCGGGCCAGCTGGGCTGCAGGCAGTGGAAAGAAGGCGGCAGCCCCTGCAGTGACCCTGTCCCGACCTCGGCGACCGGGCCTGCGCAGGGCGGGGATCATCACTAGCTCGTTCTCTGCAGTCACCAGTTCGACCTCACCGCACAGCCCCGGAGCTTGTGCCTCGGAGGGGCAGAGGCCACAGGCAGGACCTCTGCGCGGCTCTGCGCGCCTTCGGGAGCCCTGGCCCCGGATGGCTTCGGAG